GACAGGATTCAGACTCCAGTCTAATTTGAATCATAAGTATCCTGGCGCATGATAACTATTCAAGCTTAGTTATGCAACGCTGTTTGGCTTCCCACCACCAGTTGGAATCGTCTGGGAGGGTCTTGCATGACATCAGACTTTTGTTTGTGTAGTATCCAAGACAAAAACTAGAACCCCCAGGTCAAGCTTAAAAGGGACCCCAAAACTTGGCACTTTCAATGCCGTGCCACACATGTCCTCAATTACACGGCATGTTAGGTAATCCTATGATGTCATTTCCTTGCGTTATTCTCATATCTCTGAGCGCTGTGTGTGTTTTCATTTGCCTTTTCCCACTGGCACCCCCGTGCAACAACCTGACCCTCGATGACAACATTTGGCCTGAATTAAATATATCTTGCTGTGCATGATAATGTACGATTTTTAAAGGGACTGAGGAGGGAATCTCAGTACACTCTGGAACACAAAAATAAATGCTTTTTAATTTAGCAGTGTTGCTGCCATGTACACTACCTTTCAAAAGTTTGGGGTTCATTGGTAAGATGTTTAATTTAAGAAAGTCTCTTATGCTCTCTAAGATCATATTTATTTGATCAAAAATACAGTAAAAACAGCAATATTATGAAATATTATTCCAATTTAAAACAATTGTTTTGTATCTAAAAGATATGTGATGACAAAGCTGAATATTCATCAGCCATTACCTACTGGTGACATGATCCTTCAGAAATCATTCTGCTTATTTGGTGCTCAGGAAAGATCTCTTATTATTATTATTAATGTTGAAAACAATTGTGCTGTTACAGTACATGTCTTTACTGTAACTTTTGATCAATTTAATGCATTGTTGTTGAATAAAAGTATAATTTCTTTAAACAAAAACAACAAAATGGACTTTTGTCTATGACTTGTCATAAATTCTCAGAAATGGTTTCACTTTTGAAACATGTGGTGTGTATCTTGGAGGAATTTTAAAATGGACTCGGTGCTTGTAAAACCCCATGTGGTCAGAGAAGGATGTGGTTGATGAATAAAAACATGGTTGAAACAAATCAAATGTATTAAAATACATAAGAACTACAACAAAAGTTGTAGCTGCTAAAGAGATTTCAGAATCTGTATGTCTGAATTGTATGTATTAGCAGGACTGTCATCATCAGCGTTTGCATTTATTGTTCTTTTTATGGGACTATTAAGTCATAGCAGGGCTGCAGTGTAGTTATTGTGTTTTTTAGCTGGCCTGCAATACATTTGCTTTGTGCACTGGCCTCATTCCAGCAACTCAAATTAGTCTTGAGGCTGGAGAAGGGGGTGGTTAAGAGAGAAAGCAGAAGATACAGGCACCAGGAAACAGAATAGAAAAATAGATCCAGCATATAAGGAAAATTTCAGAGATATTAAGGTGTCACAGCAGTGTGGCCGAACAGGTTTTTCTGGACCACTTACAAATATGTTTATGAGTACGTGTATATAAATTCGGTTGGCTGACCATTTGTCACAGGGCTGGGCAGAGCAAGTTTATTCATGCCTGAGTTTCTCTCATTTCACCTAGTTTATTTACAAGGTCAGGTGTAATCATGTGTCAACCGGTGCTTCTGCTACACTATAACATGGTATATCTGTGGTGTAATTCATTGCAAATGGGTGCTTTCATAGTAGATAGCTTTGTTTATAATGGGAGTAATTTATTTATATAACAGATTTTATTTTGCCATTTTTGTTCAGATAGTACAGTTGGAGCGAAAGTGAGAGGGATGTGGGATCAGGATAGGACCAAAAGCGAGGATTCGAACTTGGGTCGCCTGCAGCTCAATTGGCTGTAATCTCCGACATAATGGGAGTAGTTTAGTTTTGACACATTGAGACAAACCACTTGCGTCTGAACTGAACTGTACTGTAGGTTGCTTCTGGTTCCTCAAAAAACTCAAACTCATCAAAACTTTGCACATTTTGAATTCAATGTTTACTCACAGGTGTGCATTTATTGGCTTATATTTATTTACGGCGGCTTTGAACATATCTCACCGAGTGATATTTGAAATGTATTCATGTTTTGACTTTTTGAGATGTACATTTATAGTAAGTGGTAGACAAAAGTCCTGGTGAGGTACACTACTATTCAAAAGATTTTTTATTTTTTTTGGAAAGAAATTAACACTTTTATTCAATGCATTCAATTGATTAAAAGTTACAGTAAAGACATTTAGCATTTTTGTGTTTTGTTTGTTACACAATGTGAAGCTGTTTTGCACTTGATACCCGACTTTTCATTTTATAATCAGATCTTTGTCTTTTACACACACACACACACACACACACACACACACACACACACACACACACATATATATATATATATACAATTATATTTATATCATATCATTTAATATGTCATTAAAATAAAATAAAAATATTTTATTTTTCATTTGTGAAGAATCTAAGAATCTGGGTTGAATTTCCAGCAACAACAACTGTATAGTGACTTCCCTTTACCGTAATAAAATTACTCATGCCGCAATATAAGATTTTGGTCATACCGCCCACAGGATTTCCCATGTGGCTGACCATTTTTTAATAGAGTGTAGTAAAGAATTGGTATGAGACACGTTCCCAGCTCCAAGTATAGGAAACAGCTGGCTCTTAAGAACACTGCGGTCATGGAATGGGGGTAATCAAGGGAGCATCCATTATCTTGGAAGCACTAGTGACCTTTTCCAGGACATTGCATGCAAGACGGCAGCCGTTGCACAACACGGACTCAAAATTTTGTAAACACGACATGACAACAGCAACATCTCAAATTACCAGCCAAGAGAGTCAAATGGGAAAACTCTGATATAAACACAAAGTAGCTTACTCAACCCTGACTGTGTTAACAGCCTGGAGATGTTTGTGATAAGGCTTCAGATGTTATACTGTCACGAGAACAAATGCATTGCAACGCGGAATGTGATGTATTTTCACGCAAGGAGATGGGTGTGTTGATCCCATCAACCCTAAGCACGTAGAACCTACGTCATGCATTCACGTGTCAGTTCTGTGTCAGATTTAGATTTAAGTAGGTTTACTGTTTACATAAAATTCACTCAGACATGTAGAATAGCGAGCTCTAAACAAGCAGTCTTCATGGGTTTAAGTGAACAATCGACTAGTATCTCAATATTGATTCCCAGCAGTCTGATTTTGTTGATCTGAAGTCTTTCTCTGCACTGACTGATGTTTATCTGTCAAACCCAGACATCTTGTCTGTTACTGTTCTGTGTCAAACTACCCAGGTTCCTCTTTCAAGCCGTCATGCAAATGTCTTGGTGACGTTAAGTCGTCGAAGGCTTTTATTGAGACATCTACCTTGAAATCGCAGTGGTGTGTGTTTAGTTTACACCTTACCTTGGTTTTAAGTCTCCAAAGATGAAAAATATCCTTGAATCAAATAATATGACAGTATGTAAAACTTGTCGTGCATGAACTCACTCGGATATTTGGATGAGAGATATACAGTGTTTGTCGCGTTGTGCCTTTTTAAACAAGATTGATTTTCCCAATGGTCTGGGTCAAGTCATCGCCTTTGACAAGAACACAGAAAAAATAGACTGAATCTTGTGACGGGCCAAATATGCAGTTTGCAAAGAATAAACCTTCCCTTCTAGTGAATCGGGAAGTAAACGTTTATCAATTTTGAAATGTGATTACTGATTTGAAGTATTTAGTTCCTTACTGTCAGTAAATATTGGTGGCAGAACCTGTGAACTGAAACGTTCCTCTTTTTTTTTCTTTTTTTTTATACCTCAAATTCAAATGATGAAGGCGAGTTTTTTTGTTTTTATTTCGGAGGGGCACTCTGGGTTTGGGACCCTCGGAGCCCTCCCCTCGGACAGCAAGCCAAAAATGCATAATCTTTACTCTATGTAATTGTGAACTCGTGAAATGACAATTAAACACGTGCCACCACACTTTAATTTAGAAAAATCTATTATTTGAATCTATTATTTAATTATAGTAATATCTGAAATCAAAAATAAATAAATAAAGGCTTTACAGATGTGTGGCCATTGGCCAAGTGTAAATGTGATGTGCGTACCCCATCATCCAGTCCACCAAGATTCATAAAGTAACCAAGTATAAATTTCTAGAGATAGAAAGTGAGGTGAAATATTTTAATAGTTTGCACACATGATAGCTTTTGGTGTTTTTGGACTCTCCACTCAGTTAGACTTTTTATTGCTTTGGCAAGATGCCAGCATTGATGAAAACCTAAACTGAGCTCTTACGTCAAAACTTGAATTTGATTTGAATGAGGTTTTCTCTAATTTTTTGCATGTTGTTTGGGTTTGCTGTTTTACACTGATGGGTAACATGTTTCGACCACATATTTTGCATATGTCCAAGACCCCAGACAGACTCAAATCAAAAAAATAAATAAAAGCTTTATGCAAAAAAGAAATGTGAAAAATGAAATATGACCTTGACATGTCAGATTCACCCATAAACACACTTGCAGCTCACTGGCAGTTTAAACCTGGCTTGCTAAATGTTTTTATTTTCCCCTGTTCCTATGTCCCTTTTAAACCTCAGCTATTCATAGAACCCCTTGACTGCTTATGGAAAACAACTGTCTGATGTGAAGGATGCACTGAAGTGCACTCCAGGCTCGTGATTTCGCAGCTGAGGTCGTATTCCGTGTCCTTGCGCGGGTGTCTGAAGTGTCGGCAGTCTGTGGAGTCCTGCAGTGGACCCTTCCTGAAGCACATGTCAGCAGCTCCTCCTCTCTTCTGTTCAAGCATTAGTGCGCCGCACCGCAGTTCTTACACACGGAGTTGTGTGAGTGAAGCGGCTTGCCGTCGCCGGCTCATGCCAAAGCAAATGCACATGTAGAGTTTGTTTTTGTAGCTTTATACGTTCTCATTTGTAGTTTTACGCTTGTTTAGGGGCAGTGTTTACTGGGTTTAAACGAAACGGTTAACTTCTGGGGACTGTTTAAAAAAAAAAAAAAAAAATATCAACCATTACGTTATTTTAAGGCCACGTTGGTGTCCTTTTAAGGCCTTATGGACGGATCATTTTAAAACTATTTTAGCTGACTGGTCAAAGCACCAGATTTATTTATTTTGGACAGCTTTTTAGTACTTGGGTAGTATGATGGCTGTAGAGGGGTCTATCTGAGGATATCCGGCTCTCTGGTCCTCCGTCATGACCCTGGAGAGTGTGGCGATCACGGAGAGCTCAAGCTCCTCTGCGCGGGGATTCTGCTCCTGCTGCGGGGCGAAAATAATGCCGTACTTCTCCGACAACGCGGTCGCTTCTCAAAACCAGATCAACCAGCTGTAAGTAAAGCTCAACTGTTAAGCACCAGATTTATAAGCTAAGTAAATCGCCATAGATTCCGCTCTTAAGTGTTTATACTATACAAGTTATTTGTGCGAATGATTTTATTAGTGTAGCCTACTAACTGATAATCAAGAATATAACTTTCCCACGAATGCAATTGTGTGACGGTAAATACACTGCGAAATACTTCTCGTCACATCAGTTAGCAGAAGTGGATGTTTCCTAATCCCAAGCCTTTGACGTAGTTGTGTGTTGTGAAAGATGACAGGAGAGTGATGCGATTCACTCCTGTCGACGAGATTAACTGATGGATGAGTCGTACAATAACTGTGCCTCAACTTTTTTTTTATCATAACCATATAAAGTCGTGGACTTATTTTAATGGTGTGTCTAGTACCAACGCACTATGTAATGGCATGTTTTGGATGTAAGTAATATTGAGTTTTTTATGTTTGTATAATTCATATGCAAAATATATACATTCCTGTTCAAAAGTTTGGTTTCGTCAACTCAGTTCAAGTTAATTTGAATAGCGCGTTGACAATATTGTTTCAAAGCAGCTTTACAGAAAATGCTTGTTACAATTTAGGAAGTATTCTGTTATCAGTCAGATTTTTCAAAATTCTTGATTTCTTTACAAAAAAGTATCTTATGCTCACAAGGCTGCATTTTATTTGATAAAAATAGATATATCATTACAATTTAACTGTTTTAATATATTTTAAAATGTAATTTCTTTCTGTGATGCAAAGCTGAAATTTCATAATCATTACTCCAGTCTTCAGTCACATGATCCTTCAGAAATCATTCTAATATGCTAATTTGCTGCTCAAGAAACATTTATTAATATTATCAATGTTGTAAACAGTTGTGCTGCTTTATATTTTTGTGTAAACCGTTTTTTTTTTTTTTTTAGAATTCTTTGATGAATAGAAAGTTCAAAAGAAACATTTGGAATAGAAATTATTTGGAACAAACGTCCTTACGGTCACAATTTCAATCCCATTCTTGTTGGACAAAAATAATAATAACATTTTTTTTTAAAAACTGTTTTTGACCACAAACTTTTGAACAGAAGTGTATAATTTTAATTACAGTGCAACATTACGGAACCCCTAAAAGGGACATGAAGGGGAAAAAAATGAAATGGGAGGGAAAATTATTTGACGCTTTTGCATTCTCTCACAAATGTTTTGCGTTCCCTTGAGAAACTTTGCGTTCACTCGCAAAGAACAAAAAGTTTTTGCGAGGGAACGCAAAGTTTCTTAGGGTGTATTCACACCAGGAAAGTCCGATAGTTCACTTGCTTTGGTCCGGACCAAATCATTTTTTATTTTTATTTTTTGGTACGGTTCGCTTTCACACTGCTCTTTTTGCAAGTGAACCAAAATTTGTAAACAAAACCACACGTGTGCTAAGGTCGTCCATTCATTGGACAAGGATTCTCAAGTAGGGAAGTCAGGAAGTGCAAAAATGGCTCAGCATGGAGATATTTCGTACTGCAATATTTGTTATTTTACTAATTTTGTGTTATTCTGTACAAACGCAATATAAAGAAACTGCGCAGAAGACGGATAAGGTATAAAGTTTTGATTCATAGAGAGGGGCTATGTTCACACATTTAAATAATGAGATTCTTATTGTATATACTGCTAACAAGTGCTGTCAATGTTAACGCTTGCGATTAAGTTTGTCCAGTTTAAAGCAGCATCATCCTTGTATTGTAACTATCGTTACATTATATGAACTGCAAAAGCTTTTTTTTTGCATATGCGCGATTAGACTAAAGAGAACGCTCTGTGTGTGAATGTCCTGATGCACACACTCATTCATTCATTCATTCCAATGATGCACACACGACGCGCAGAAAGACGCGCAACAGTATCGTGTGGCCAGACTGCGCGCCGGAATGGAATTCTCTTTCGCACTTGAACAACAATAACACAAACCATTATGCCAAAATCTCCGACTACGGAAGCCTGTTAACTCAAAGCCGCAGTGCTTTCTTGCAATTGGGTCGGTTCATGTTCACACCGTAAACGAACCGTACCAGAGTTCGTTTGGAACCGTACCGAGACCACCTCTTCAGCTGGGTCTCGGTTCGGTTGTTTGGTCCGCACCCGAGTTCGATTGCTGTATTCACACCTGCCCAAAAGGTCCGCACCAAAGGGGGAAACGAACTAGAGTTCGATTCAATCGAACCAAACAAGGCAGGTGTGAATACACCCTTAGTTTGTGTTTTTTTTAGCTTTGTGATCTTTATTTGATGAAAATACCAAGTGTAAATGTCCTCCAGGTTGGTTTTGAGTTGAAACTGATGACAATGCGAATCAGGAAGTGGTTTGAGACACATACAAAAGATTTGACTAAAGTTCTGCAAAATGTTGCTGTCCAGCATTAGCATCATCAAAAATGTGAACTTGGTTAAATTTGCATATTGTGGGGGTATTGAAGATATGATTGATATCTGTTTACAGATGTGTGACCAAGTGTAAATGTGATACCCCATCAGCAATCCGGTCCACCAAGATTCATAAAGTAACCAAGTATACATTTCTAGAGATAGAAAGTGAGGTGAAATATTTGGTGTTTTTGGACTCTCCACCCAGTTAGACTTTTTATTGCTTTGGCTTTGGCAAGATGCCAGCATTGATTATGAAAACCTGATGGTGGATCTCATAACAAACCTATCTGAAGCTAAACTGAGCTCTTACGTCAACCTGAATTTGATTTGAATGAGGTTCTCTCTCATTTTTGCATGTTGTTTGCTGGTTTACACTGACAGGTAACATGTTTCGACCACAGATTTTGCATATGTCCAAGACCCCAGACTGCTTGAAACCTCAAAATAAGCAGCATGTACTAAATCCAATTTGCTACACCCCACCAGACTGTGAAATCTTTTGAGTCAGGCCTAAACTCCAGTCGATTGGTTTCTTTCATGTTTCAGTGCAGAGCAGAGATGTACGGCTCTGTTTTTAGACTGACTAAGCAGTCATCTGACATTAGTCAATAGCGTTACAGCATCATTTGTTTTTTTCTCTCCTTATGCAGAGGAATCAGTACTGATGTTATTTATACTGTGTTAATAGGAAGGACTTGATCACTGGGGTAGAGTTCTTTTATCTTGCAAACCAACAGTAGATATGGGTAATTTAATTTTCAGTGAACCGTAATGCAATTTTTTAATCCGTCAGATAGAGCAGGTGATACCTGATGGGAATTTACAAGATAATATGAAAGCATATAAAAACCTCCATTACTCATTCACTGCCAAAGCAAACAGAGCTAAGAATAGGCCTGTGTTTGTCAGTGAGCTTTAATGATTAACCTGGCTGGGAAATTACAGGTGTGAGATACTGGAAGGAAGTTGAGCAGTGTGTTGACATTTGCAGTGAGAAACAGAATTGCTGTATACTTACCTTTACTTCACACAGTCAGTGACGCACGTGTTTCCCAACTTCCAAGTCAAGTATGCACTTGATGCGCTTAAGGGTTGGTATCGTCATAAGGAAATCTGATGTAGTTTGTTCTTCTGTTGAAATACAGGACATAGTTGGTTTGGTAAAAATTTTCTCCTACACTGTGGTGTTGAAACAAACAGCAAAACCCAGATCATTCTTAAGATTCTCCCATATTCCCAAGTTCTTTGGGAGCGAGAACTATACTATGCTATCTGACTTTTAAAAATGGAATAACATAAGCAGCTAGTTGTACACTTCTGTTGTCTCAATCTAGCAATGTTTATGAGTAGAAAATATATAAATGATATATGAAAACACAAAACTGGATTCAGACCAGTGTAATTTTACTGTTGTTTATACTATTTTTATATTTATTAATATTTTTATTTATCTTTTATTTGAATACTTTATTTTAATTTTAATTTAAGTTTAGTCATTTCACTATGTGCTTTTATAATTTATTCATTTATTTATATCTTTGGTTTATTTCAGTTTAGTGTTAGAAATTGTAGCTTATTTGTTTCAGTTAGCTGCCAAGTGCCAATGCAACATTTTTAAGTGTAAGTTTTTCATCTAATGTTTTTATTTTATTTCATCTTTTTTAATTACCAAAACATTTTATAACCAGATTATAGGGTCATATATACAATAATGAACTGCAGGCTCACATTATTTAATTTGAGCTTCTAAGCAAGGTGTACAAATAAACAACACTTTCTAAGCAACTCCTTTCACCCTTTGTTAACACCCCCCACCCCCCAAAAAATTGACTTGATTTCTACTAACCTAATCTTATTTTGTACTCTTTTTCGTGGAAAGTGCCTGAATGCTTGGGTAAAGCATATTGTTCAAAATTTAAATATTTTGATATGTAAGATTGTTTTAATTTGATCTATTTCATAGTTAAAAGAGTGGTTCAGTATAGTCATCATGACTTCAACTGGTCACACATGTGGACCAATTAGAAAGCAGGACTGTGAACTTGGAATAGTTCCTCGCCGTCTCGTTTAATTTTAAAAACTAGGCCTGTACTGTCAAAGTTTTGTTCCAGTGTTTGTCTTTGAGTTTTCCAAACCTGTCTGTATTAGTGGCAAGGGGGCTAATTTGTATCTCAGAAGGTGACAAAATTCCATCTCCTTCTCTCACTCTGAATCTTTATCAGGGCTGAACTCATAAGGCCTTCAGCCTGGACCTATATTTATCCCTTCTCTAGTGGGAGAGTGACTAATATGGCCAGGGACAGGTGGGGGTCAGGCATCTTTCAGCTTGTTGCATGGCTCTCAACGGCCCCTTACATAGTGATGATTGTGTCTGTGCCCTAGCAACTACTGTCCAGCACTTCATGCCAAAAGATGACCCTCCCAACCTCTTTTATTTCTCTCTCCCTAAGCTGTGTGTAGACAAGCGCAGGCAGGTCATCTATTTCCTCTGTCTGACCTATCTGGATTCTCTTCTTTTTTTCTCTCGTGTGTATGCGTATGCCCTTACATGTCTGCCTCAGTGAAATGCCAGTGGGTGGAAATTGCATCACATGGCCCCCGTGCTCTCTCCACTCTCTGAACACGGATACTTGTGCTGCAAAAGACAGCCCGGCACAGTGTCCCAGGTCATATTCTTGACACATCACTTAAGTGGTGTCTGCACCCACGGTGCCTTTAGTAGACTACATTTTGCAGTTTGCATTTTTGCTACTAATAGCGATCAGTATATGAGTAGTTAATGTCAAGTACTTATGGTAAATGCTATAATCCATCTCAAACTATTTTAAATGCCATTTTGCTTTTTTAAATTTGTACTTATTATGCATGAAGATTTAATGATCACATTTTGAGAGATTACATGAAATATTTTAACTTTTTAAAATTAATGTGGCACTCTGCAAGACAATTGACCTGACTAAAAATGGTGAAAACCCAATAATATTGACTTATAGATTCATATTTTAACTTAAAGTCTGGATTTAATATATCTATATATGTCAGCTGCTCGTGTAGAATGATAGTTTAACTATGGGTAGTTGGGTTGAAACTGCAGGACAGTCAATAATCTTATCAGACCTTGATGTTCTTTGCAGTCTGCATACTGTCTGCTGTCTTGCACAAAATTACAAAGTTTTGTCCCAAGCGCTCTTCCAGCTGTCATGTTTGGTTACACGAGATGATATACAGTAGCTACCAACACTGTAAAAGTCCATCAGCATTCATTCACTCTGCTGTTTATTTTTAGGTGTGTAAAATTAGCCACGACCCTGTATCAGCCTGGAGCTCATATCCCCTCATATGCTGATAGATGTGCAAAGTGCAGCGCACGAAAAGAGACTGTTTGCACTATACTCTAATTTTCTGCCTATCTTTGTCACTTTCTTGCTCCTGTTTTTTTTCCCGTTTTTTTTTTCATATCAAGCTTCCTATAAAAGTACTCCATAAAGCAGTTTTATCAGCTCAAAAAAAAAAAAAAATTAACATTTGATCACACCTTCCAAAGGCGAGTGTGCCTCTATAAAAATACACTGGCTATAAAAATTTCTTTCTGGCTATGAAACTGTATTTGGCATTTTTTATTAAAATGTTTGGTAAAACAAATGTTTTTGCAGATTTAAGAAGTCTTTTTTGCTCACCAAGGCTTATTTGATAAAAAAATATATTTAAACAGTAATATTGTGTGAAATTTTACAGATTTAAAATAACTGTCTTTAAAACTGCGCTTGTCACAAAAACATGAAACCACATTGTTGTTTTGAGCAAATATTTCTGGTGGTTTTAAGATAACATTTAGGAGAAAACACTTCAGGCATCCTAGATAAACTTTAGGCTAGTCAATTTTCTATAATTTTGTTTTAAACGTGTTTTGTTCTAGTTCCTAATAAACTTTTTTTTTTAAATTTGGTTTGTATTTGGTGCTTAGCTAGTGTTAACTTTGGGTCGGCTGAAAAAATAGATAGACCATGAGATCGAACTGAGACTAGAGAGTGGAGGAAACAGCTGGGTCAGAGGTGACTGGGATGTGGGAAATGAGCTCAGCTGGGCCTGATGGGGTTTTTTTTTCTTTGTTTTTATTTGGGGAGTGACTGCCCCGGGCTTCTTGCGTTCCCTCAATTCTGCAATCCTTCCTCCCTCAAAACCCTGAGACAGAGGGCTAGCGTTTCCGCAGAAATACCTAGATTCCTCAGAAGTTACTCCGAGGGTGCTTTTCAGAGCCAGACGTGGAAAGTCCAAAGCCTGTGGCATGTAATACAGGAACAGCGGTTTATGAGCGAGACCACTAGTCACTGTAAGTGTCGAGATGAAGGTGGTGCTTCGTAATGACTGCTGTCACGGGTCAAACGTCTCCCAGCTCTATAAGTGAGCCGCTGCAGCATGAGCCCCTTCACATATTTTACAATACCACTTTGAGATCTGAGATTGAGTCTCTTAATGTACTGATAGCGCAAGTGCTCAAACGCAGATGTGAATGCTTGGTGAATGCTGTTATACCAATTTGCTGTGTGCTTTTGCGTCACTGTGGCAGTAACAATTACTTCCAGAAATCAAATGTCTGTGACATTTAAAATGTATCTAGACATATTATGTTGACTATTTAACTAGCTTTTTCTTTTTTAGTATGTTTAATTATATATTAAATAATACATTATATAATATATTGTAAAGTCTCTGCTTTCTCTCTCTGTCACTGTTCTTGTCATCAGTATCAGCGAGAACTTCCTAACCGTCAAAGGTGCCGCTCTCTTTCTCCCTCGGGGAAATGGCCCCTCCTCTTCTTCAGCACCCCGCATCATTCAGCGGCGGAACAAACACACAGGTATGAAACCGCACAAAAGGATCTCCTGACGCAGTTTATTGTGCTATTCTCTCTGGCTATCAGACGCAGCTTAACATATGAACATATGTTATGGAATTGGTTTACATTGTACTCTTCCATGTGGCAATGCATAAGACTGACCTTGAGATGAAGGATTTTGTCACTCAAGAATGTTTGTGTGCATGTATTTGCATGCATGTTGATAGACATACTGCTGTGCTTGCAGATAGACAGCATTGATTTCATTATGAGACCCATTAGCTTACAGGAATGCATTATGAAGGGACCCTAGGGTCCGTCAGTCATTGTATAATACAGTATACAGACTTTATTCATCTTTATTTGTCTTCAGTATTTATTTATTTTTATTTATTTTTTATTTAATGATATACAGCCCGGGAAAGTACTTGGACACTTATGCTATACATAAATTGAATGAATTTTATTGCATTAGATAACAAAATATTAAATTAAGCTGTATTTATTTTGAAGGAAAAAATTATAAGCACAGTTTCCTATTAAAATGTTTTAGATGATCGCAATTTCTGTTTCATGCCAACTCCAAGGGTTCAAAAAGTTTTTGTGTCCTCTCTATGCAACTTTTATCAACCATACTTGTTTTTAACTCTCCAACTGGTTTAATATTTTAATATTTCTATTCATGATTTACAAACCCAAGCGTAATCACACACTAGCCAGACAAGGAATGTGTCTTGAATGGGAGTAAGTGAAATTGGCCTCTAGATAATTTTCACTGAAGCATGCAAATGTCACAACACTATTATCTGGGAGGTTTATGGTTGTTATTGGTTCCTTCACAGGTGACCTTCAGCAGCATTTGCAGACCATGTTCACCCTGCTGCGCCCAGAGGACACCATCCGCCTGGTAACTACCATCATTCAGACCTAATTAATCAAACCACATGCATCAGAATGCTGAACGTCTCTGATTCTGTCTCTATCACAGGCTGTCCGTTTAGAGAGCGCCTACACCCTGCGTACACGGTACATGGTGATCGTCTCCACCAATGGTAGACAGGACACAGAAGAAAATGTGGTGCTGGGAATGGACTTCAGCAATTCAGACCGGTCAGTATAATGCAGACACGCTGATTAGTTAATTTTGCATTTGTTAATGTTGAAGGTGGTGCTCATAATATGTGATGATGCGTTTCCTGTAGCACTTGCACAGTTGGGCTGGTTTTACCTTTGTGGAGCGATACACTTATACACTTGGATGGAGACGGGTGAGGCATAACATGCATGCACAAACCAGTTCTGCATTTTTAAACAAAACTTTTACAGAGTATTCAGACTGAAAGTGATGTTTTCCTCTCATTAGTGGCTTCAGTGTGTCCACCGTTAGCCGAGTCCATGTCTTCAAACCAGTCTCAGTGCAGGCCATGTGGTGAGTGTCTATAAAGACAGCTTTTTCGCACTCTCATACTTTTTTTATGAAAGGTTAATGTATTTTCTCTCTCGCACATACTCTTAGGTCAGCCTTGCAGTCTCTGCATAAGGTTTGCGAGGTGGCCCGATGTCATAACTACTACCCCGGCAGTCTCTTCCTGACCTGGGTCAGTTACTATCAGAGCCATATGTCCTCAGACCAGCACTGCATCAATGAGTGGAACGCCATGCGAGACGTGCAGTCCTACCGTGCAGACTCACCCGTGCTGTTCACTGATGTGTGAGTAATGTTTTCAACATTGATAATAGAAAACAGTCATTTTAAATTTAAAACATCAGAAAATCTTAATGACTCCAAACCTTTGATCGACAGTGTATGGTTTTGTGGAAATAGGTGTCAGAGCCCTTATGAAACACGGGTATTGTTATTGTGCTTTCCATATTTAGGGCCAAGTTGATGTTGTTTACAAATAGGTGTGAATAGCGGTGTTTGGGTTGTAAATCAATCCTTGTTTTTTGGAAAATCGAGTCCGTGCATGCACACTCGCAAAGTTCAATCATATAGGGCAAGTTTGCATCAGAGTAAGACAAGGAGGCATGACATTCCCTGAATAGATTGACGTGTTATTGCCAAATCGATGAGATGACCTCTAACTTCTTCGATGCACAGCGGCCTGATGGTGTAATCCATGTTGTTGCTTGGACTGCAGGGGGGAATTTCCCCTCAGTTGGAGGCATACACACGTGCATGTGTTTATAACATACACAACTTCAGCCTTTTGCTTTTTATAGCTCCACGCCGAGATAGTGATTTACAGTCGGAAAAATGGGCGAGATTGATAGGTAGCCTGGCGGATGGATGGAAACAGGTGGCTTGAGAAGGGGAGTGAAAATTGTCTATCAAGTAGACACTGTGACCCTGAAAGAGGGCACTGAGGTTTCGCCATAGAGATAGTGTTTTCCTCGAGAGTTGAGAGGTCTTTAGTGAAGCGGATCTGTTCTTTTTAGACATCCTGTGAAATGGTGCCCATTGAATGCTTCTGAGTTGGGTTAACTGAGAGAGCTAAGGTATTGTCTTTGTCTCCATAGCTTAAGATTTAGTATGGTCACTTTGCATGAATATACATAGGAACATAATGGGATTATAATTCCACACAGTCACTTTCTTTTTTTCAAGTTTTCATAAAGGTCAATCAAGCTGGCATGTGTAAACATGTTTAACTTAGTTTCCTGCATAGGGGCTTTTCAACCCTCGGAGTGCCTTGTGAACACAGCCACCATCTGAGGGTGTTGACCTACATTGCATAGCAGTGTTTTTAAGGTTACTGGCAGTGATTAAGATCACAGTGCAATCTCCTGGTAGCCAATCAGTGCCTTGTTTTGGTATCAGTGTAGCGACATTTGTCCCGTGGTGAACCCAACACCAGAGGCCTAGGGATGACGCACATTTACCATTAATATTTGCACATACTGCATCTGAGCTGGGATTTTATTTCAAATTGTTTGTTAAATTCAAACAAAGGCTTTGTTCTAAAGTCTCTGGTTTTTGTAGCTCTACTCGAACAATACCACACAGACATACAAAGAATCATACGAGGTGAGGCACGCCTCACATTGAGACCAAACTGGATGATTTATGATTCTGGGTTTCATGCATACAGGCCAACTGAGAGAGAACGCACAGAGAGACTGATTAAGACCCGTTTGAGAGAGATCATGATGCAGAAGGACCTGGAAAACGTTACTTCAAAAGAGGTACAAACATCCATTGTGCATATAGTATGCGATCTTAAAGTCTTCTTGGTTTGATACCTTCCGTAAAACCCACCAAAATCTGAATGTCTTAAATAATACCACCAGATCTTGAGGTTTATGTAAAAAAATGGTAACCGAGGTATTGGATAATAACTTTTTTCTTCAGATTCGGACGGAGCTAGAGATGCAGATGGTTTGCAACCTGCGCGAGTTCAAGGAGTTCATCGATAATGAGATGATTGTCATCCTGGGCCAGATGGACAGCCCCACCGAGATCTTCGACCATGTCTATCTGGTTGGTCACCTACCCACTTGTCTATACCTGTCAATAAAAAGTACTAATCTCCTACGGACATTAGGGAAGGAGTGTTCAATCTTGCTTCTGAAGGGCCAGTGTCCTGCAGAGTTTAGCTATAACCTCAATTAAACACCCGAACCAGCTAATCAAGGTCTTCATGCCTACTTCCAAACTTCCATGCAGGTGTGTTGGAGCTAATCTCTGCAGGACGTTGGCCATCCAGGAGCAGGTTTGGACACCCCTGCTTCAGGAGCATCAACCATAACGTTTAATTTCTGTTTATGTTTCCAGGGTTCAGAGTGGAATGCCTCTAACCTTGAGGAGCTCCAGAACAGTGGGTAAGTGACAGTTATTCCAGGCCACTGTTTTTAAACAAATACATCCGCTCGGCTGTATGCATTCATTGTTAATTTTACCACCCCACTTCCTCAGAGTTCGCTACATCCTGAATGTGACGCGAGAGATTGATAATTTCTTCCCCGGGCTTTTCGAGTATCACAACATCCGAGTGTATGACGAGGAGGCCACAAACCTCTTGGAGTATTGGAATGACACCTACAAGTTCATTTCCAAGGCCAAGTAAGTAGAAAAACTGGCTTCTGAAGTTCTGGTTCTTCGATGGTGTTTCACCAAAGTTTTGCGATCCAGGAAAGCTGGGGTGAAGTGTCTGGTACACTGTAAGATGGGAGTGAGTCGTTCTGCCTCCACCGTGATCGCATACGCTATGAAGGAGTACGGCTGGGACCTGGAAAGAGCCTTTGACCATGTGAAGGAACGGCGCTCCGTCACCAAACCAAACCCATCCTTCATGAAGCAGCTGGAAGAGTACCAGGGTATCCTGCTAGCCAGGTATAGGCCATACACACAGAGCTTGAAGTCAAATGCTTATTCATATTTCCTTTAATCCAACACGCCCTTACCTTTTAAATAAAGAGCCAAAGAATAGTCTTACTGATACACATTGACCTTAGGATTAAATGTAATACTTTTGCTCTTATAAAAAAAAAGGTTTCCATTTGAGTAAATGCTCTTGTATTTTGACTCAATGGCATTGAGTTTCGTCACCATTGTGATCTATTATGCTGGTCTCTCCACATTCCTTTTGTTGTGCAGCTTTTGCTGTCATACTTGCTTTCGTGTTTGTATTCCCATTCACACACCCAGAGCTAATTGTATTTTTAAAATATCGGTCACCACCCTCAGTGATTCACCTGACATTTAATGTTTCCACCATATTGGTGAAAGACGCTCGTCTGACACTCTTGTCTTTCTTTCTGTCTTGCTTTCTCATTCCTCCAGCAAACAGAGGCATAACAAGCTGTGGCGTTCCCACTCAGATAGTGATCTTTCGGAGGGTCACGAGCCGCTGTGCAAGGCATCTCGCTCGCTGGACCGCCCGGACCCATATAACAACAACAGTCCTCCTTCCATCCAGCAGATGCTAGGCATTGCTGTGCTAGAGTCCCTTACCAGTCCACAGCCTGTTACAGGCAACACCCATATCAAATCGGGTGAGCTGCCACATGAGGACCCCTTCCTCCCGCCTCGCCCCAGACAACGAGCAGCTACAGTGGTGCCTGAGCAGAATATGGCAAAGAACTCTCGTAAGAACCTTGCGGTGAGCGAGCCAGTTGCTCGTCGCCACCCTCCTCCCTCTCTACACGTTCTCGCTCCTCCTCTTACGCCAGAGGAGAGAGAGGGCAATACAACTCTAGACCTCGGCGCCCAGTCGTCTCACCAAGTGCCTGAGCCAAAAACAGATACTGTTGAGTTGTCCCCTGACACTCCTGATCAAAATGACTCTTATCAAGTGTCACAAAGCTTAGAACTTTGTCTGGAAAGGGCTATCAGCAAAGATGAAGGGAACCTGCCTTCTCCAAGCACGCCCGAGGCTGACAGCCCCTCAGCAGCCCTTTCGATTCCCGAGCTGGACTCTAGTGATGATAACAACAACCCCAACGCTGCAGATCTGGTAGCAGCAGACTCTGTGCATGCCGGCGCATCCCGCCTTAGCACAGATAGCATTGACTTCTTTAGTGCCAGAGAGAAGTTCCTCTGCCTGTCCCAGGACAAGCACCCTCGCTCATTTTCCGAAATGGCTGCTCTGCAGCCACCTCAATCCAGATGCACCCCTCCCTTGGATGATCCCAGTGAGGAAACGGATGAGGTAAGAGTTTGTGCTCACTTCAAAGATCATTGCACTTCCTGATATGTCATTCTGAAAGATAAATGATAAAACATGAATGGAATGACTCATTTATTGATCAAAAAGTAAAGACACAGGAAGTATATTGAAGTGATACAAGTACAACACTGCCTCTTGCTGGTGTAAACTGAAAAATGTCCATTATGCTGTAGCTTCAGAAGACTGAATATGAAAGGAAGATCTTTTGTACTTTTTTTTGTGATCATTTTCTGTCAATTTTAGAGGTTGACGGCTACAGTCCCCATTCTGGGGGGAAAAAAACAGAGCAATTCTGCCTTACAATTTTGTGAGCCATGGAAGAGAGTTGGTTGAGGGTGCTTAAATGACATGAACTGAATGAAAAGACTTTTAATTTTTTGGCTGAACCATTCTTTTGATGTGGTAACATTTATGTTAATGTGGTAAGCTCTCTTGATTAAGAGTATTTTCTCTTTTCTCATCCCTAGTGCCACGCCCACTCAGAGACCAATAGTGATGCAGTGCCCCACCCCCTTCACCATGACAACAATGTGTGTGTGCGTCATATAGTTACTGAACTGGAATCCATATCACACACCTGCAGTCCACCACTGGCACGCAACTCACCTCAAAGTGCAACACTGGAGGAGGTGGATGGGCAAACTTCTTCAGCTCCTCACTCTCCCTCCGACAGGACCTCAGGATCTGTGCGTCGGGCCACCGAGCAGTTGGAGCTTATACTACGACAGGGTCAAGAGGTTCCTCGCGCTCCTCTTCCTTCCCCATGTTTGGACTGTTCTGAACTGCAATCTTTCTCCAGTAAGCCAGAGGGCACTGTGGCCCCGACCTGCACTGAGACCCAAAAGACTACAGACGAAAAAGGAGGCGACACCAAAGTGCTTGATGATGAGGACTCTGGTATAATCCCTGATCCTTCCTTCTCACTGTATCTTGAAGGGAGTGTTTCGGTGGAGGCTGACCAGATCACTTTGAACCCCACTCTTGAGCCCAGCTCTGGTTCTTCCTCTGTGTTGTGGCTAGAAGGCGTGACCGAGCTGGAGACGGATGTAGACAACCTGTTGAGGCCCCAATTCCGGCTAGCACGCAGCAGTGAGGACTTGCAGAAGATCCAGGAGACTCTCCGAGAGCTCCAGGCGTTCTTGTATGAGGCTGGAGGACTGGGGGCCTGCAATGGACAAGTTGAGGAGAACCAGCCGCTCAAGGGCCAGTGGAACTCATTAGATGGGGAGCAACGCTTGGAGCCCAAAGCACCTGCGATGTGGCAGAGAGCCATGGAAATCGAGGCCCGCATCAGACAGGCCGGTCTAACCCCTCCCTCACTCATGAAACGCTCTGCCTCACTTGCTAAACTTGACCGGCTAGAGCTGTCTACTAACGACTTGAGCGACTGGGACTTCCATCCGGCTAACACAGGGTTTCATCAACCCTCTTCTTCCTCTTTATCCACCTTTCACTCCTTGCCACTGACCCACAGCCATGATGACGCCCATAAGAAGCAGCGTGTTCTACCTCAGAGCCCTTCCACCCCTGATTCCACTGTCCATTTGATAGAGGCGGACAGGATTGAAGGCTCCGCCCACCTCTCACCCTCATGTTTGCAGATAATGCAAGTGGGTGGAGCCAGTCCCCCTGAACACTCCCCCGTCCAGCCCACCAATTCCGTGTCCACACGACAACAACATGCAAAGACTTATCCCATTCGCCGTTTCCGCAAAGCGTCAGACAAGAAAAAGACAGTCACTGTTTTGTACAACACCATGTGACCATTACTGAACTTTCACATGCTGCTTTTATCGGCGTGAAGGACTATCTCAGACTGCAACCAATTAAAGTTTCATTCAGTGAAGTCTAAGCTAAATTTGTACGCTAAAGATGTATGCTACTGTAGGTGCGAATGAGAGCGTGAGTGTGTTTCAGTTGTGTTCAGAATCTTTCAGGTAGCAACTCAAACAAGAGGGTTGTTTCTTAAAATATGCACTTTACTCTCTTGTTTTTCTTTTTTACGGTTTTCTTTTATTTTTTTAGATAGCATTTTTATTTGAGTATTTTTGCACTGGCTTGTTCGGTAGAGTTGACTGTATGTCTGACAGCATGTGGAGTCATGATTCTGTTTGAAATCAAGGTAAACTTGATCAACTTTTTTTATCCTGTGCTTTAGCTGTGACTCATAAAATAAAACTGCACTATTTTAATTATTTTTGTCAAGTCATTTATTCTGTAGACAGGTCAATAAGTGACCTTGTCAATGAGTTTTTAGGATTGGCATATTACAAACCGCATTTGTAATTTTAAAGGTGATGATGATGATGCTTATTATTATTAAGAATAAACTATTAATAATTTGATTTGATAGTAGTTTGTTTTATTGTTTATCATCATCTGAATTGGGATGGAGAACTGTAGTAGCCTGCTCTTTCAGTGCAATTTGCTGTCTGAACCACAGCGCCACAGTGTGGCAAAGAGCTGTACTGCAATATGATGTAATGCATTGTGTGTTGTGGTGGTTGCTTGTACACTAGCATTATTTTAACATTCAGCATTTTCATGTTTGTAATTTACCAAAACCAAGCAAGTTAAGGGACACTAGTAATGATCTCCTGCATTTAACAATCTCAGGTATTTTAAATTCATTTTACAGAAAGTTCAGTTAAAACATGTAACATATCTTAGTGGCCATGTTTTTGTTTTTTTTTGCATTGCTAATGAGCACACGCTTGATGCATATTAGAGAACAGAAGTTCCACCAGAGTCCATTTTTAGCTCCGTCTGGGATCAGTGGCTATTATATTTAAAATATTCTCGTCATAGTACCTGCACCGACTGACTCTGATTAATATTATTCATTGAGGTTGACTCATTACTTAGCAAAATTTTCCTCTAGACTGCTGATTCATTCTGGGAACAGCATTGATGCTTAAAACACTCCCCCGATAATCCCAAAATAATCGTGGGAATGAAGGTGTTTGAAGCCTTTGGTGAATTACATGACACTAATTTAAATTTTGCAATTTTTGGAAGGAACGATACATATTAAGCAGGCCTAGATGATGAACACAGCACAATCAATTATTATGTTATCTGACATTTAACAGTCTCTTGATGTACAGTGCTCGCTAATCACTGAAAACTAAAACTTTTCAGTAATTAAAATAAAGCTGAAATAAAAACTTAAATTAGACATGTTGCATTGGCCCACTAATTTAATTAAGTTTAAGTACTAAAACTGAAAAAAATAAAGCTAAGTAAAATAAAAAATAAGCCAATTCAAAATATAAATAAATAATAAAAACAGACTCATAATGTGAGGATCTTGTAACTTTACAAGAAAATGAACTGCATGATTATTCAGAATATGGTATTGACATACTAAAGGGTTTTTTCATATTTTTCTGCAGTATGATCAAGTACAAGACCTTTGCTTTTAGAATCACAACCTTCAAAATTCAGTGACGCATTAATTCCCAAAGCTTGAAAATTCAAGTTAATTTAGATGTCTTACCCTTTATTCGGAATGCCTTTAAGTTACAAATGTGAACAATATATTTCAGTCACATACAGACACAACAGCAGCACTCCACACAAACCACAGCATCAACCAAATTCAAATGAAAAAAATGTTAAATATAAATAATGCTATTATTTGTTATACTAAAACATTGAGTCATATCAGGCATTTCTGCCCAGGCATTCACAAGTCACACAATCATAAGATCAATCCTACGTGTTTATTAGCTCCGTCTCTAGACAGTGCCATCAGATCCGCTTCCTTTGAAAACTGATGGTTAATCCCCTTGTGTTTTTACATTGAAGCTTTTCAGAAGTGGAGTATGGCCATGTTTCCTAATTTGTTTTTCAGATTCACCTGATACATCAAACCCTGAGGGCACGTCAATCAGCCCCAGAATAAATCTGACTAAGGAGACAGATCTATTTTAAGATTCTCCAATAAAACTTTCCCCTTTGTCTGCGCTCAGGGCATTATCTCTGTGAGTGATTCCTCCTTTCATGTTTTATTCCAGAACTGGCACCCCTTATAAAAGCACAATTAGATTTCTGATTAGCTACCGCAGGTGTTCCAGTCATGAGACAATGAGCTCTGATGGGAATGTTGAAGGAAGCACTGAATGGAGGCCGGGAAAGAAACGGTGTTGTCGAGTGATTGAACAGATGGATGAATGCATGTCGTGACAATTACACTGATCAAAGTACCCAAGAGTTGATATGAAAGATCAACTTAGCACCATTTGAAGTAGAACAATGAAAAAAGAATGTATTTTTTTTCTGAAACGTGCATTTAGGACACATGATGAATATTGCAATGAGCATTTGATTCAGATTCAAAGGAATCATTTAGTCATTATTGACGTTTACCTGAAAATGGCTTGTTTTTTCCATTCGCTCTTCTTATTAACTGTCAGTTGTGCCATTACAATAATTTATCTTGTGTTCGGATTAAAAATCATGCCGTTAATAGTGCACAAAGGGTGGTTGCCAACCTGCTGTCATCATAACGCAGGGTTTGACGTTCCCTTTAGGGCGCTTGCACACTACAAAAAGTATGGCAGAGGATTTTATGGGTATGATTGCACAAGATTCATTTTGAGGGTGTGGACTGTGGAAAGAACTGGATTAAGGCCTGTTCACACCAAGACCAATGTGTGAAAATTTGGTGTGAGAAACATTTTAATTTGAATGACCAAAAATAACATTTTCAAGCCACAAATGTAAAAAAAAATTCTAACCTCTTTTCCATTGCACTGCGAAGCCAACCAAGATTCAAGCTTTTGGTCATGTGCCCAGAGCTGCTGCTGTCACATAAAACTATGATTTAGTGGCCCTCGCGAACAGTAAGTGAGAGTAAATAGCACAAGAATCCCAAACCAGCTCTTTTCTCTCTACTCTTGCACTAAGAGGTGTTTGATAAACACTACACCAAATACCAAAATCTCGTCCAAAACGTCCAACCGTCTCTTTGAAAACATACTGATACGGTTTGACTTCCTTTATTCCCTGTAACAAGCAGATCTTGTTCTGTACTGTACTGGGGTGTTTCTGCTTTTCCACCTACAGTGAATTTGTGCCGAACAGTGATGCTGGTGTGAACAGGTCTTTAGTTTGAAATCAAATGGGAATACATCAAATTAGATTTCCGAATTCATAGCTGGACCTGCCTGTCTGAGATTCTCAAAGTTCAGCAGGTTAACGTACCGACATTAGAGTATATGCTGCAAAAGTATTTTTTTAAGTGTCACTTTCGCAAACATTTGCGTTTTTCTTCATACATCCTTGTGAATGCAGCATTCCCATCAAATTGAGTTGGATTTGCAGCATTAACTCTTGTGTGTAAGAAAGTGCCCTCCCACATTCTATTAGGAGACATCGTGACCCCTCAATCCAAGTGCAGTGAATTGTGTGTATTAACAACCAAAACTAAAGTTCTTTAAATCCATAATGTGAAATTGAAAAGTGACAATTTCCCCCAGAATTCACACCTACCGGTGACGGTGAGTATGAAGGAACTCTGTGTGAGTGCTTGGATGATAGCTTTAAGAAACAACAGTAAGATACACAGCGCGGACTTGTCTCGGTCAAAATTGCACATTCACACGTTAGGAGACCAGACTGGTGCAGATCAGTCAGTGGATTGCCATGAGTTTAGTAGTTTGTGTTTGTAAACTTGCAGAGTGAAGACAGAGGGTTCTCTGTGATTCTGAATGACTCATTGGAGAGTTCCAGTTCTTTGGAAGAAGAGGGTGGGGCGTTCGGGAGTGGCCAATCATAGTTCACGCTGGTTACAGATCCCCAGGCATGCTCTGCCACCCCTCGCTGCCCAATGGCCCGGTCACTTTTCCATGAGTGACAGCTGTATGATACGCTGCAGTTCCTCTTCCTCTCGTCTTTGACGTAGCTCCGCCTCTTCCTGCTCGCGGGCGGACAGCGCCATGGCTATACGCAGCTGCTCATCGTAGCTGCGCGGTGGCTTATTGGTCGGTGTGCTGCGAGGGCTCTCCACGGGGCTGGGTTTGTGCTGTGGGGTTCTGGGTAATGGGGAAGAAAAGAACAAGAAGTGACTGAGATTTCTGCTAACAGAAGATTGTTTTTTTGAAAACACTCAAATCAGCACTTTAAGTGTGATGAAATATATGTGTATTATTAATATATGCGTCATCTCTCCAGCGCTGTAGGAATGGAAAGACGTTCATATATAATACTATATTAATCACCTTTTATTCACTTTCACATTTCACTTTAAACACGACAGTCGTTATACATTTTTTGCCCCTGTATCTTGAATTTTTATGTTTTTAAAAGTCTCTTCTGCTTACCAAGGTGCATTTATTTGATTAAAAAAACAGTAATATTATGAAATATCAGTACAACTTAAAATATCTGTTTTCTATTATTTTTAAATGTAATTTAAGCTGAATTTTTAGCAGCCATTCCTCCAGTCTTTCAGAAATCATTCTAATACGCAATTATTTATTATTCATATCATTTATTATAATCATCAATGTGGAAAAAAGTTGTGCTGCTTAAAACTTTGTGGAAATCTTATTTTCTTCCCAGGATTTTTGGATGAATAGAAAGTTCAAAAGAACAGCATTTGCTTGAAATAAAAAAATTTTGTAACATTATAAATGTCTTTAACTTTTTAACTGACCCTAACCGTACGTTCACACCGCCGCCGGCGAGAGCGGCAAAATTCGCTCTCGCCGCCCTGTCAGCGACGCCGTGGAAAGATTCGTGGACGCTCTGATGCTCTGACGTAGATCGAATGCTTGGTCTTTTTTAAAACTTTATTTAAAGGGGCCGCGAAGCAAACAAGCATGTCGATCGTTATGTTTGCAGAAAATGTATCGATGGAAAGAACTTAATTATAGTGACATGTTTGCTAACGAAATAAACAAATTAAAAGCCATTTGTTTTGGTGTGGCTTTTGTGTTCATGGTTAAATGCTATTCTAATTTGCATTCCCGCTGAAAAACAAGCGTTCTAGCACGAATATCTTGCCTATAAATAGTGTTGCGCGCCTTCTTATGAAATTCAAATGATCAACCTCTCCTCTATTTTGCTTGGGAACTAATGTGGTCGGAACCTTTGTTACTTGACTGCGTTCTCTGGAATCCTCTCAAACGGAGCACATCTACATTCCGATTGGTTGCCGCCGGCTGCCGCCGAACCGCGTCATAGCTCATTTCCCTAAAGTTGAGCTGATTTCAACTTCTTCTCGCCGCTCCTCGCCGCTCTCACCGTCCAAGACGCGCCGCGCCGCCCTCGCCGGAGCTCGCCGCCGGCTCTCATTGAAAATGAATGACTTCCGGCCACTTTGACGCTCTCGCCGCCGGCGGTGTGAACGCACAGTAATAGTGTGAAGTGACTGTTCCGGATTCATGTCGGCATCTCATCCTGCTTTAAAACTCTGCGAGGAGCAAGTGGAGGTGAGGAGAGAGAGAGATGAAAACCCTAGTGAATTTCTATGAGCTTCACTGAGGCTGTATTGACAGACATGCCTGTGTCAATAGCTCCAGTAAATGTGATGAGAGTGTGACGCTGTCCCTGCCTATTGTGTGTGAGATGTGACTACAGGAGACAGTAGAAGCAGAATACTGACTGCAGACCTTTCATGTCGGCTGGGGTCACAGGACAGAGAGTGTGTTCCCGGCTTACTGTTGGTCAAAGCCTCCCAGATCGTCACCTGTGAGTGAAACAGTGTAAAAGGGTTTACAGAGTCTTACACCAGGTCCTAATCAGACAACATGACACATTAAAGCAACAAGCTCTCTCTTTTTTTCCCAAGGTTACCAGGGTGATGTCAACTTCCAGGGTTGGCCTACAAAAACACGTTATCCCTGCTGCACTCTATAGGAATGGAAAGACTTTCATTTAAAGAAGCCAATCGCTTTCACTCTAGGAAATACCACTTTTTCATGCAACTTGAGTAGCTAAATGTATACATTTTTGGTGAACTTTAAATTGTTCAAATTTAAGTTGGCTCAACTCAATAATTAATATTTAGAATTAAAATTGCCTAAAATTAAGTTGGGCCAACTCAATTTAAATTTTCCAAAATTAAGTTGGCCCAACTCAATAATTAATATTTAGAATTAATTTTTTCTAAAATTAAGTTGGCCCAACTCAATTAAATGAAGTTGGCCCAACTCAATAATTAATATTTAGAATTAAATTTTTCTAAAATGAAGTTGGCCCAACTCAATTAAATGAAGTTGACCCAACTCAATAATTAATACTTAGAATAAAAAATTTCCAAAATTGAGTTGGCCCAACTCAATTTAAATTTTCCACAATTAAGTTGGCCAAACTCAATAATTAATATTTAGAATTAAATTTTTCCAAAATTGAGTTGGCCCAACACAATTTAAATTGTCCAAAAGTAAGTTGACCCAACTTAATAATTAACATTTAGAATTAAAAATGACCAAAATTGAGTTAGCCCAACTCAATTTAAATCGTTCAAAATTCAGTTGGCCCAACTCAATATTTAATATTTAGAATAAATTTTTTTTCCAAAATTGAGTTAGCCCAACTCAATTTAAATTGTTCAAAATTAAGTTGGCTCAACTCAATAATTAATATTTAGAATTTTAATTTTCGAAAATTAAGTTGGCCCAACTCATTTTAAATTTTCGAAAATTAAGTTGGCCCAGCTCAATAATTATTATTTAGAATTTACATTTTCGAAAATTAAGTTGGCCCAACTCAATTTAAATCATTCAAAATTCAGTTGGCCCAACACAATATTTAATATTTAGAATTAAAATTTTCCAAAATTGAGTTAGACCAACTCAATTTAAATTGTTCAAAATTAAGTTGACTCAACTCAATAATTAATATTTAGAATTAAATTTTTCTAAAATTAAGTTGGCCCAACTCAATTAAATGAAGTTGACCCAACTCAATAATTAATATTTAGAATTAAATTTTTCTAAAATTAAGTTGGCCCAACTCAATTAAATGAAGTTGACCCAACCCAATAATTAATATTTAGTAGTGCTGGGCAAGTTAACGCGTTATCGCGTTAACGCATTTATTAATTAATGCCGACAATTTTCTTATCGCGCGTTAACGCAGTTTTTTTATTTATTATTATTTTGAAAGTCCGTTGCTCACTGGCTCTGAATACACATAGGCCTACAGTCAAACCATGATCACAGGAGGGGTGGGATGTTGGTCAGCCAGCAAATAACCCACCCAAACAAGCAGTGGAGAGGCTTTGGCAGGTTCTCTCAGGTGAACAGAAAGGGAGACAGAGCTCCGCGAGTGAATGACAGGCGCTCTATAGATAGTAACCATGGCAACGGGCCAACGGCTTCTGTGCGCTACGCAGCTGTAGCCTTTTTAACTTAAATTAAAATTATACATAACTTTACCTGATAGGCCTGCGTTTAGTTTAGCGGGGGTGCTCTTCCATGTGAATTCCCTCCTGTTGATGTCCTGATAACTATTTAGATTCTGGAAACTCACAAACAGCGAGCCGAGGATCAGTCTCTCTTCCAATGATTTGTGCTGCGCGTGACGCGTCGTGTACAAAAAGTTAAACAATTCAACTTCGGCAACGCGCGGGCGCGTGCGTGAGGCGAGTATGACCGCAACTATTTCACAGGAACGCACCCGCTTGTCGCTGCCACCTGTGCTCGACCACTTCACCTCACTCTATGCTGATTTATAGGCTACTTCTGCGTCGGACCTACGCCGGAGCCTCTACGCTATAGACTACTACGCGTTGGTTTTCATTTATATATCTGCGTCGTTGTCCGCGTTGACGCGCAATTACACATGCAGAGGGAGAGTGTGAAACCCGGGGAGCGGTTCTAGCAATCACAGCGCTTGTTGTACGCGTAGAATTGACGTTACATTTTTGGAGAGATGCACGTCAGGGTAGGCCTACGCGCGCTACAGCTACGGCGTGACTTCGACGCAGAAGTATAAATTGGCTTTACCTCTGTTTAATGTAATCTTACGCGGGAAACCATGGCATACCATGACCAAACCTAAGCTGCTATCAGAGAAGTAACGTTGGTCGACTTATATCTGTAGTAGTGATCATGACCCTTTGACTACATAGACTGTTTCTGCTGCTCCCTGATACAAGATACCTGTTCAGAAAAACAAAAAACAAAAAACAAACAAGAAAACTGGACTCGTTTTAACAAGCTAGATAAAAGGTAATGCCCTGGCAGTGGCAAATAGCTTTGTTTAAATATTTGATTTGATTACATTAATGTTTAAGTTGAGATTTACAAGAAATATTTTATTGATACTGTGTAAAGGGAATACTGCTGGTATAAAAGCACCTTATTTGTTTAAAGTTTTTGCAAACCACATGTTATTGCACTTTTGTAGCAGTACATTTAAATCAAAAGTGCGCAATACACTACTTTAGAATTCATTATTCAATTTTGCACGTAACAATGCGATTAATCGCGATTAATCGCAAGAAAATCATGCGATTAATCGCGATTACATTTTTTAATCGTTGCCCAGCACTAATGTTTAGAATTAAAATTTTCCAAAATTGAGTTGGCCCAACTCAATTTAAATTTTCCACAATTAAGTTGGCCAAACTCAATAATTAATATTTAGAATTAAATTTTTCCAAAATTGAGTTGGCCCAACACAATTTAAATTGTCCAAAATTAAGTTGACCCAACTTAATAATTAACATTTAGAATTAAAATTCTCCAAAATTGAGTTGACCCAACTCAATTGAATTAAGTTGGCCCAACTCAATTTAAATTTTTCCAAAATTAAGTTGGCCCAACTCAATAATTAATATTTAGAATTAAAAAATACCAAAATTGAGTTAGCCCAACTCAATTTAAATTGTTCAAAATTAAATTGGCTCAACTCAATAATTAATATTTAGAATTAAAATTTTCCAAAATTGAGTTGGCCCAACTCAATTTAAATTGTTCAAAATGTCAAACATCTATGTCTACATAGTCTAACATCAAAATGTTAATGTCTTCTGTAGATTTTGATCTTTATAAGTTATGATAGGCCTATATTTTCAATGAAAACACAATAAAAAAAAAAAAAACTTTTTATTACCAAATATACTATTAATAAGACTGGTGAGTGGTGACCCAAAATACCCCTATTACAACAAATTAAAACAAAGACAAAGTCACTTATATTAAACACTTTTTTTTTTTTTGTTAACAGAAGTTATCTTGCCCCTTTAATTGCCTTGCTATCATCCTGTCAATCATCTGTCTCATTCTCGCGGGTCGCGGCTATGATTACAGTTTCAGTAAAATTTTATTTCACCATCATCGGTACCCACCCTCAGCCGATTGGCATAATTACAGTATTTGCAATGACCATCCCGTGTCCAAAACGGAGCTTACACTGTCTAAAAGAAAAGTTGTGACTGCTGACTGAACACTGGTCTGTGCCTCACCCGCTCGGCGCTGTCTAGCGCAGCACCACACAAATTTAACTCCCCACAGCTAAATAAAACAGGCTGGTGGCAGACTAATATTTAATATTTCTGATGTAAATATTTCTGTGAAACGCGTTAAGTTGCACAGAAGAAAGCCCAATCAAGGACCTGCCCTGTACAGTTTAAGAAGCGGTAGTAGAGGACTATTATTATTATTTATTTATTTATTTTTATTTTAAAAAAATTACAATAGTGCAAACACACATCTTTTAGAAATCTAAAACATTTCCAACAATGTATATAACAAGTAAACTCATTTGTGTACAATCATAGCATAAAAATGGAAAGAGCTAAACAAAGAAGAATAAAAAGGGGAAAAAAAGAAACAGCAAACAGATATTAATCATGGTACATAAACTATCTCTATATTTCTTCAAAAAAGAAGTACATTTTCTATTATCAATTATTCTTAGTGATTTGATTAAATATTTTACTTCAAATAAGAAATCTTTAAAAGTAGGAATATTCTTAAGAAACCTTTGTTTGTGAAAGTAAAAGTTTGCCACAAGGATAAGGAAGTTACCAGTAGATTCTAAAGATTTGTTTGGGTTTTCAAAAAGACAAATTACAATTGAGGACTATTATTTTGTTGAACAGACCTGAGCAACGACTGATGACGTCACATGCTCAGATTTACTTGACCAATCAGCGGAAGGGGGCGTCTCATGACCGCCCACATGTGGAAAACGAATTTTGAAGTCATGTATTCGTTTTTTGCCTGTGAACTAAAAAACGAAAAATCAAGCCGAAATCTCTTTTTTTCATTTTTTTGAAAAAACGAATAAAGCTGCCATTTTCTCATTTCTGCTTATTTCATTTCAAATTGGAAATCAAATAATCGGATGATACCCTGATTTACCCTGATTATACACTGACCGTGTTTGCATTGGTGAAAGCATTAGAGAGAGTGCAGAAACTGCGTTGCAATGATAAGATCTTCATTCTCACGATCAACAGACTGTCATCTGCTGCTCAATGCTCATCACGGCAACATTTTATGTGATGGGAATAGATCTAAATACTTTAAAAACTTCTCACGATTCGTTAATCTCGATAGCTGTAATAGTAAAAACGTATAATAGCTGTAGTAAAAGTATTCGAGAGAGTTTCACATGTAATACGTAGCTATTTCATATGCAAGCATGTCAGCCAATCACAGCAGTGGGCGGTTACACTGAATCCCACAGCAGACACGGCCCTTCAAACAGAGCGTTCAAATCAGAGGCTAAAATCAGGCTAGGAAAAATGCCTTTTATTTCTAAATTATTACTATTTTTGATCTAAAAAACATACTAACATTATAAGGGCAACCCAGGAAACATAGAATAATAAAATAACCCCATGTCAGGGGACCTTTAAACATCAAATATTCTCAGAAGACTGCAGTATTTTTGGATCTAAGGACAGAAAAATGATTTGAAGCCATGTTGTTTCATGGTTGGTTAGGACATGGTGTAAAAGGGTATATTGCTCTATGTTGCGGACACCTATGTGCATCTGTTAACAGACCTGGTCATATTCTGATCCAGCCTCAATCAGGCTCTGCTGGATGGCATAATGTAGCAGATCATCCTCTTCTTCTCTAATGTTTTCCCTCTGGTTTCCTCCTAAAATGCTGTATCCCCGCGGAGCCTCAAAAACACAAGGTGGGATCTCTCCTCCACGACATGAGTCTGATTTATACACAAACACAAATTCATGAAGACCGGTGCAGAATATTGTAGTTAAATGCATTAACCAGCAGATCTGAGTTACATCGGTACTACAGGCAGCGCTAAAAGGAATGCAATCATTAAGCATTTATCCATTAAATATTTATGTCTCTGGCCATTAAAAATGGCAAATGCTTTGTCTGAACACGGTATTATTTTGTAGCACCATATTTCTCAATCTGAGCATCATCTTAAATAGCTTCTAACAACCACATTTCCTTAAGGGGAAAAGGTTGATTCGTACTTGTGGAGCTAGAGCTGGACACGCTGGAAGAGTCGCTGCCTGGAGATGGTGTCTCTGTCCTGGGACTGTCCTTTTGTCCGTCCCCTTCAGTGTCCACCCGGGGCAAACCACCCTCTTCACAACCATTCAGGTTCCCAAAGGTGATCCGAGCATTTAGGATGTGGTAGATGGGAATTTCTGTTGTGAAGAGATGTCATTGTTGCATTAGCCTGATAACTTAAAGGGGTCATATAATGGTACATGCACTTTTACAAGTTGATTGTACTGAAATGTGTGTTGGCAGTGCCTGTACACAACCATCATATAATGATAAAAATCCATCCAGTGTTTTTGTTTTAATCTCCTTATATGTTTTCCCCTGCCTCAAATTGAGCCGTTTGTTTTTGTGACGTCAATAAAACGGACGCCCCTCCCACGATTGTTGATTGACAGGAGTCAGCACAGGAGTTTCAACACAGACCCGCCCTCGCTCGTGAGAGCTGTCAATCATAGTCTGCGCGGACCGGCGCGGTCATTGTTGATATGCTGGAGCACTGTCTATGAGCAGAATGGTGTCTAAGCGATTGTGGTGTTCTGTTCTTGGGTGTAATAACGAACACAGCAGTCATTTTAATGTTCCCAAATCCGAACCGCTGAAGACGCAGTGGCTGAGTTTGTTTTCGAAGGGAATATTCCCCACGAGCAACGTCAATGCTTTCATGTTTGCGCGAATCATTTCACACCAGACTGCTTTATAAACGAGGATCAGTATAAAGCTGGATTTGCTAAGAAGCTGCTCGAATAAAGGAAGAAGCTGCCATGAATAAAGGATCGGTACCAGATATTCGTGTTCCTGCTGAATCTCCAGAAGAACTGAAGTGAGTGTAACGTTTTATTAAACTTTATATTAATATTTATATCTTTGCAAATCGCTAGCTGCACGCTTCACAATGAATGCGGCTAAGGTTTACACTCAGGGTACATTACGGCATGTTTTCTATGTACGACGTTCTCAATATAATTCATAATCCCACGTTTATACTGAACAATCTCTATGGCTCTGTGAACAATGCGTTATGGTTATTGTGTTATTGTGTTACAAACGGTGTATGCACAGAACAGAGGGGCGGGGTGAGCGCAGCTCATGATAATTTAAAGGCATATGCACTGAAACGGCGTGCTGAAAACAGAGCTGTTTTTGACCAGGTAAAATAAGTGTTTTCTTACAATACTAATGAGAATTTTTAATTAAAGTATATTACAAAGTTTTAATTTAGACCCTAAAGAATCATATTAGCTTGTACAAAAATGGCATTATATGACCCCTTTAAATGTGTGTTTGTTTGTAACCATACTTCGAAAACACATTTTTAGGCATATAGCATGTTCTTTCCATTTTTTCCCCTTTCTCTTACCTATCTTGATGGGGAAGCCAGGAGGCAGACGTAAGGTGATGAAGTCCCTAAGCTTGGCGAACAGAGTGTTGGAGATGGCCATGAGGTCGATGATAGGAGCCACCTGCTCCTCCAGAGATAAAGGGTGAGATTCACACAACCACAGCTTGGCTTTGAACCTGGGAAAAAAACATTCATGTAATGGCCGTGGCCCGTGACACAGCAAGCTGACGGTCGGATGTTGGCCATCGATGAGTATCTGTCGGGCTAGTTTTGAGGTGTGTTCCACACGTCAATTAAAGTCAGGCTAACGTCGCCGGCAGTTTGCCCGATTCACCATGTTGAATCGGCCTCTGGGCCGTCGGTGAGAGATATCGCTCTGATTGGCTGTTCAGTTTAGCCAACGAGTCCGTGCATGACAAATAAAAGCGAAAGTGATGAAAGCGAGCAAAGACAGCACAGAGGGCTGTTTTAATTTTACGTCATCTCAAGCCTTTCATATCAAAATCAGCCGCCTGGAATGAAGAAAGTGATCAACATGATTGATATTCAAAATGGTAAGCATGCGCTGCTTTGTTTACGGTTTGTATATCTGCAGTCCTAGTATCGGTTTCCCTTTGTGAATGAAGAACAGACTATTCATACCTACTGATATAGACAGGTATTTCCTTACAAGCAGACGCTGAACGCACAAGCTAGTTGGCAGTCGCCTGTAGTCTTTAGTGTTCAAGCTCAGATTTCTGGCCCAGACGCAGCCGACACAAGGCGACAACACAGTCGGCTTTCGTCGCCGCTAGTTCTTTGACGTCGGCTTGGTGTGTCACGGCCTTAAGACACGTGTGACCTCATACAGTCTTGGCAGTCCAGGAAAAGAGTGTAAACTTATGTGCCCTTGAAGTAGAGCAGTGTAATTTTAGTATTATTTATATACCATATACATTTTGATGACAACATGTTTTACATTGCTTTAACTCATCAAAATAAGTTAAGCAATTTCCAACTTTTTTTATAAGTTATACAAGATACAAATCTGTAGTGAATTATAATGAATGATTAGGCAAATTATTTTAATTTACCTGCTGCATTTCAACAATTTTAAAAGTGTGATGTACAGAACAGCTCATATAGACAACAAGTGTATAATCACTCGACTTACTTTGGTTTGCTTTATGTAACAAACATTTAGTTTTGATACCATGTTTAAATAAGTGATGGAAATGAAACATTTTTATCATTTTGAATTCAGGTTTATCGTTTACAATATAATTATTTTGTTTTATTTTATTTTGTTTAGGCTACTTCCATGTTATGTTTCCCGCTTGAATGCATGACATCATAATAACAGATGCCCGACTGTGAGGCACGAGTTTCCCAGGTGCACTTAAAGGCAGCATCAGAAGACTATTCAAAGAGGAACACATCTCATTAGTAATGGTTTAAACTGGTATCATAATTACTATTACAGTAGGGTTTGGATTTAAATAAATCTTTCATATTTATATTACAGTTAGATTTTTTGCATTTATTTTGATAGGACTCTTTGAGGAGAGATGGGAAACAGTTGGAGAGGAGAGAATGGAATGGGACTGGGAAAGGACCACATTTTCTTCAGAGAATCTAGTTATTTGTTTCAAAATGAAAATGAAAGGGTTGAGACACTAGTCACACTACCTTTGTGTTTTGGTGGTGAGGTTACAAGGCTGTCCGATGTCTCTCTGACTCATGTTGGGATTAAAGTACTCCTCAGCCGTCAAGGCCAATGGGTTCGTTGAGGGGCAGGATATCTGAGTCACCATTGTGTGCTGTAAAACACACACGCACAAACACTTTGAGGCAACAAAAGTGACATAGTACTAGAAAGGCACTTTAGATGTCTTGATGATAAATGAACAGATACTTGACAGGCTCCTCTCACTCACTCCGTTGTTAGGCCCCATGTGCTGTTCAGCGATACCCAGGAAGGATTGCAGAGGTGTCTTGCCGCCTGAGACAAAAACGCAACACACAGCAGGTCATATTACAGAAGATGTGCACAATCCCAATGATCTGTATTACATCACAGTAACAGTAGACGAGACAAAGACACTGTTTGTTTGGAAAAAAATCTGAGAGGGCATTGAAATAATGATTCATCATATTCAACACGGCATGCCTACCAATGCACACGCTCATTGTGTTTTGTTGAGAGAGAAAAAAAAGCATATGTGCTTAAAAAACTAAATTTCTTAATCTGTATTTTTGTCCTTAAATGTTATCCTTATGCTCACCAAGGCTGCATTTATTTGATCAAAAATAAAGTAAAAATAGTATTATTGTGAAATATTATTACAAATTTAATGTTTCTCTATTTTAATATATTTTAAAAAGTAATTCATTCCCGTTGTCCCTGCTGAAAAATCCAGCTGTGGAAACTTTTTTTAAGGATTCTTTGATGAACAGAAATTTCAAAAGAACAGCTTTTTTTTTTTTAAATAGAAATATTTTGTAACAAAATCTTTACTGTCACTTTTGATCAAATGAATGTGTCCTTGCTGAATAAAAGTGTCAACTTGTTTTTTAAAAAAAATCATACCCTAAACTTTTAAACAGTTATTGTACTGATTTAAGAAAATAATTTCAAATGTGTGATTTAGATTTCTGAAAATATAGATAAATGTCAATGTGGGCATGTGAAGATTGTGATTTGAGAAACAAATTGGTCAACGTACCTTTGGGTTTTGTTTTGTGCTGGTCAGTGAGATGGTCAGTACGTGTTCGTGTGATTAGCTCAACATTAGAGGCACAGTAAACCTGAAGCAAAGACATATGAAAATATTAGTTGATCATTTGTTTGTTAATCTGCCACATTATATCCATGACAAACATAAAACACTCGCTTATCCTACAAGAGAATGCTGTTCATGGATTTGACATTTCAAAATATGGAGAACTTTGAAGCAGATTTAGAATTTCATGAGCATTTACATTGTGAAAATAAAGAGTTCATAATGCATCTAATGCTCAATCTTCACGACGGCACCATCCTTTACTGATTGTAGTGTAGACACTAGACAGCTTAGCAGATTGAAATGAGAGCAGTCTAGTTACGTCATGTCGCATCTCTGCACTCTCTTCCAGTGTATTGGGTGTAAACGAATGTTGTTTCATAGCAATTGGTTCCTTTCCAATCGGGTCAATGGATGAAAGCGGGCTAAATTTTGCAACTGTGAAACACTATGTAAATCAAGGGATAAGTGCATGAATATTAATTGGGTCATAGAGACGTTGCTTGGTAACCTTCCAGGAGTGTCCAGTCAAGTACCTTAATTACTATTCACGAGCCAAGCCTTCACCCTAGTTGGATATGTCAATTTGCCAGCTAATTAGCTTACAATTTAACAGCCTTCCTATTAGCCAAGGATAACTGTCAAGATAAATAAGATATTAAACTTGAAAAAGGCTTATCAGCTAAGGTGTTTAATTACCATTATCATACATCAGTACAACTTGTGTTTCTGTACTGTGGTGATTCTCAATTAAATGTTTCCATGCCTGTTGTTATTAGTGTGTGTCTGTTTATGTTGTAGGTGTGGGTGTGACACATTTTAGTTAAGTTTCATGTGTTTCAGTTTGTTTCTATGGTTTTTCATTGATTAATTAAGTTATATACCTGTGGCTTGTTTTGTTGATTAGTTAGTTTGCCTATTTAAGCCCTGGCTGTGTCTGAAATTGCATACTCTCTTGAGTAGGTGCTTATTTTGAATAAGTAATTACTTCATGACCACTTAAAAAAATAAAAGTATATAGTATGATTGTGTGTATATACAGTATATCCAACTGTATATAAAGAGCTGAGCGATAATATAGTTACATTTTGCAACAAATTTAAAAATGTGGCAGTTGAGATTTACTATAATAGTATATTGCTTTAAATGAGTAAAACGTATGTATGCAGGTAAAGTGGTCTATACTATACATCCAACTTTTATTATATAGAATTTTTCAACGATATAATGAAAACTATTGAAAATTCATCTGTTTTGCATTTTCTTTTATATTATCAGCAAAACGATTTGAGTGAGATTTACTGTGATATAAGCCATACCTTTGATTCATACCCGTTCACCACCTCTGTTTTCTCACTCCGCCAGCCAAGAATGCCTGTTTTATTCCTGCAGAGACATCCCGGCATGTTACCAGGTGGCCAACGTGCCGTGCAGGCAGAGGTGAGTCCAATATCACACATTTTATGATGAAGCTTATCCTAAAAGTGCTGGCTCACACTCTCAGCTTTACAGTAAAGCCAAAATAATAGGTTACGATGCCCTTCCTGTCTAAAATTTTAATTGCCGACAATGACTTGGCAATTGTTATGTTATGTGCTCACCTCTCAAATGAGATGTTCCTGGTGTCAAGCTGCGTGGCCACCACGGGAGCGGATAGACGGGCCGCCACCTGTTCATCGCTGGGCTGCAGCGCCCCCAGAAGGTTCAAAGCGGTTGTGCACGATCTGGGGGAGGGGGAGGCGGGAGAGGAAGTGTGGCACGGCAGCGTCTCGCAAAACACCAGCTGTCTGTCATGATCCACTTCCATTACCATGGCGCTGGAGTCTGAATGACAGGTGGAGAGAGAGCGAAAAAGGAAGAGAGCCAATTAGAGACTGTGGCGGAGTGAGAATGAGGTTGTTTCCATGCCAATGATGGCTTGTTTGAAAGAAAGCTGAGCGAGAAGTGGCATTGAGAACAAAAGCTCAGATCAAACCCAAAATCTGATTTGAAGGTAACAGGCCGTTCAAAAAAAAGCCATCGCACTCACCTTGACCCCTGAATATAAAGCTGCGATTGCCTCTTTGCCAGGTCATTTGATCAAATCCCATGAGTGTTGTGTCCACCCGCAGGCACTGGCCACTCTTCCATACCCGATATGTGTCACTCGGACAGATACGAGACACGAGCGGAACTGGAAATAGAGGGAGAGTTTAACAATAGCAGGACATGAGGATGTGGAAAGAGGAAGAGCCTGTCCAAACATACCATTTACACATGATTACAGCACGTATGACCTACCCCAGCTTGTAAACTCCCATTTCATCTCCACGTAGAAATCCTGCGCCTGAAATACAAGAGGGAGAGATAAGGTTAGTGCATACAGTGGGAGGCCGAAAGTGAGAGACGGATCGCTCTGCAGGGAAAGACATGAATAATAAAACTCCTGGAGAGATGAGGAGCGGGGAGAACCAGAGAGCTCGCACATCCATCATAAACAAAAGAAAGAAGGCTACGGGGCGCCCAAGGTTGAAAGAAAAAACTGGTAAGGACAAGGAAAAGAGAGGGCTTTGCAAACAAACCCAGTGGTTCCCTATAAACCTGTTTGTTTGTATGCAAGAATCTACTGGAATGAGGGCTCAGGTGTGCAGGCAGCAGGTGGTTGTTACGATGCTGTTTGTTAAGCTCATACCTTGTTGTTCTGCCATTAACAGGTTCAGGGTTTATTTACCTGTCGGAGTCTCTCCAGCAGTCGCGGAATCCCTGCCAGTCTCTTAGTGGTGCGCTGACAGTCACGGTAACGCAGCACCAGCCGCACCAGCTCCGGGTTACGTGTGCTAATGGCCTCCTGCAACACTGACAGACAGTAGGTAAAGTTTCAAGAGACACCAAATTAGGGATGCATGATATTTTTATGCTATTTACTTTATTTATTCAGTAGCTTTGCCATCATTATATGCTCACTTAAAGTTAATCTTAAAAACACTAATACATTTATAAACAATGATTTTTATATAATTTTTATTCTGTACATGATATTGTTGAGATGCCTAAGTTTACCAGTACCATTTAAAATGACTGATTATTTTTTATTTTTTTTAGATTTATTAAGAATTTATTTTAACACAATGACTTTCTTTTTATTCTTATTATTACTCTGTGTTGTAGCGCTTTGGGTTTGAGAAAATTGCAATATAAATAAAATGTATTATTATTAAAATAATAGAACTTCAATATCTTCCAGAAATCAGTTATCGGCCATTACTACCTTTCAAAAGTTTGAGGTTGGTAAGACTTTATTAATGTTTTCAAAAAAAGCGCTCACCAAGGCTGCAATTATTTGATTTAAAAAAGTAATATTGTGAAATATTATTGCCAATTAAAATATTCTATTCTATTTTAAAATGTAATTTATTCCTGTGATCAAAGCTGAATGTGCAGTATCGTTACTCATATGCTGAGCTGATTTCATAGTATTATCAATGTTAAAAAATGTTGTGCTGCTTAATATTTTTGTTTAAACTGTGATAAAAAAATGTCAGGATTATTTGATGAATAGAAAGTCTTTTGATCAATTTAAAGCATAATTTTTTTAAATAAAATTATTAATTTCTTTCAACAACAAAAAAAATCTAACCAACCCCAAACTTTTGAACGGTAGTGTAAATAATTATCAGCTTATCATATTGGCCAGAAAGTGGCTGGAGTTTCTTGCTGTATTACCTGTCCAGCAATTCCTGTTTTCTTTGCTGACATCAGCTCCATGCTGGACTAACAGACGGGCGCAGTCTAAATGACCCAGTGTCACGGCCAGGTGCAAAGGAGTCCGACCCCGTGGGTCCAACACTTCTAAATCAACCTTTAAGACATAGAGAGATATTTGTTTTATTGACCACTTCATGCAGTAAAATATTTGACAAACACAATTTTATGTTTCTGCCCTAAAACAGAGATCTGTCAGAGCTGTGGCCTGGTGGTTGACGCATGTTCTCCAGAGATGCAGAGTTTTTGTGCTAAAATACAGGTTTGAATAAGACATTGTGTCCCAACCAATTCCCCCTGTTTTTTCTACTGTTCTATTAGGCCATATAGAGGCCTAAACAGTTTAGAGCAATTTTGCTTTTTCTATTTTTATGTTCATCACTGTACCTCATCAAAGTTGTTACTCCAGTAGTAACGGCGGAAGGTCTGGACTCCATAGCAGCTTTCATTGGCCAAGGACCCCCCAGAGTTCATCTGACTGACTTGTAAAGCAACCAATCACAGTTTGTTTTGTTCAGAGTCATGTTTAGGGGGGTGAAAATGTAACGTCAATATCCCTACAATAACAGACCGGCGTGTAATACTTTTGAAAACCCAGCCTTTAGTTGATCCCGATAAGCGCACATTGTCGCAGTTGTAAACATGAATGGGACACCCTTCGGTCTTGTGAACCTGACGGCTTTCTTCTTCCATGAGGGGTTTTGATGTCACAATGGGGTTTTTTTTCAGGCGGACCATTAAAAAAACGTGACACACACATCTCCCGAAAATCCTGTAGGATTTATCCAATCAGATGACGACTTCAAAACTTCTGAAGTGTTTCCAATTTTGTGTGCCATATGCATCAGACATTCAGCCAACTGTCTGTGGGCGTGAAGGCTGACGCTGCGTCCCAATTTGCCTACTTATACTATGGAACCCTAGCCTCGCGATCTTCTTCTGAGTCCACACTTTCGTGACGTAATGTCGCCTTGACTGTCGGGTAGAAGTCTGCTGCGGAGCTTGTGGGCTCAGTAAGTGCACATCGAGGGTGCATATCGGCCACAAAGCACCCGTGAGCACCCTTCTGAAACCTAAAATGACAAATGGGACACCCTTCGGTCTTGTGAACTTAACGGACAAAGCGCACACGGCGGGTGTCCATCTCATATTAATGCATAATGATGGATCTTTATAAAAGTTCACATTGTTGTTGCAGATGAAATAACACGGATAACATTAAATAAATATTTTTTATCAGGTTAAAAGTTGATTATTGGTCACTCAAACCCCTTGATCTAAACCACTCCACCTAACCGTCAGTCGCGTATTATCTGCCATGTTGTAGTTTTTTTTTGTTTGTTTTTTACACTTTTTATTCGTGTTTGTAGTTTTTAACCAAATCTCCCAAAGCAAGATGGGTTGTGGGCAATATCAACTGTTACAATGTGCATGGATACACACTTCGAAAATCTACCGGAAATAGTAGACCATCTCTGGCATACTCTTTTCAAACATACTGCTTTGGGACAAAATTAATCTTATCTTACACACTATTTAGGATGGATAGTATCACATTGGGACGCAGGGTGACACTAATCCAGTAGTGCTGGCTTCTGGATTCCAACATTCACCTTTCTTCTGAGGAACACAAAAAAAGATACATTTAAACAATGTCTCTTAAGGTCCAGTGTTGTTTAGTATCTCATTGACTTTCAAAATATCTTGGTTTGCGTTCCGCTGAAGAAAGAAATGAGGGTGAGTAAAAGATGACATCATTTTCATTTTTGTGTGAACTATCCTTTTAACTGCAGTGTGATAATCTTGAGAAAGCCTTCAGAAAGAAGGAAAGAAAGCACCATTCTGGCCACCTGCTACGCAGAAAGAATAACAGGTAAAAGGAAAAGATGGCAGAAGTGAAAGAGAGCTATGGAAAAGAGAAGTGACAGGCGATAATTAAGGCATCACACTTGAACATGACACAGACCGCGGTCACATGCCACGGTGAGAAATACTTCTACACTCAAACTGAGATCCGTGCTAAGCACACTGTGAAAACCAGCAGCGTGCCATACTGTTTTCTCCAGCTTCTCATCTGTCTCTCGGCCCCTTCCGAGCCAGTCAACTCTGTAATCAACAGTCTCGAGAGTTTCAAAAGAGTTTATGATTCTCTTATGGGAGGCTCATTTATAATAAGATCATCACTCACTGTCATCCGAACGCCAACACAATCATTCCGTTCACCTCCACGCGCTACCAAACATTTCAGTATATATGCTTGTGTTTATAGATGCAGGATGACCCATTAATCATTATTTGATGAGTTGGTCGGCTGTGGTCGTGTCCATATTTATAAGCGTACTCTCTGAGAGCAAGGGCATGACAGGCAGTGCATGGTGATGAGTCGTGAATGTGGACCAGAAATGAGAGTTAGGACAGCTTTATTTAGAGACTTATATGTGAGCCATGTTTGCTGTTTTTAATGAAGCATTTTGATTGGCCGTGTGGTAATGGAAACATATTATTACCCGAGGGCTTAACTTGTGCTACGAGAGCTGCTTTGGAGTTCTGTAAATTAACTCAGTGCAGGTGTGTGTATTCATGTGTGTTCGTTTTCGTGTCTGTGTGTGTGTCATTATTTATCCATAGTTAGTGGTGCTAGGATATGGCTATCACAGATTGCTCTTGAAAAAAACCTAACTAACCCTAAGTATTAAACTTCAGCACGTAGCACGTCTAACTTTTCTGAGAGTTCAGACTGATTTTCCCCAGTGAGAGACAAACAAATAGGCAAAAATACCATAGATTTTCAATGCATTGAAGAAGGAACCCGAGCCATATCTAGAGACCAGAATATCAAAGCGATGGGCTCTTTTAACTTAGGCCAGTAAAGAACCACCACAGCAACTACCTAGCAACAGGCTAACATCCAGTTGTTTAGATCTTTTACTGTAGTGTGTCAGTAGGAAATATCAGCTTACATTTACAAGCATTCCTATTGCCATTAATTGTAATAATCCAGTGATATTTTTGTATGCACAATGAGTCTGACAACAGCCGCTATGATCCACACGGAGATCTGATCTCACCATCACAGAGTCCATCTGGGATTACATGAAGAAACAGAAAAAAACGATACAGACTAAATCCAGAAGAACTGAGGCAACGTCTCCAAGACACTTGAAGAAATCTACCGCTACAGGATTGTGAGAAGTTTTAGGTAGGCTACTTGTGTAAAAATGCTGTAAAGTCAGGATGCTTTCAAAAATAATGCCATAAATAGATTTTATTTATCAATAAACTTCTATAAACTAAATCAAATCAATATTTGGTGTGACCACCCTTTACCGTTTAAAAAAGCACTTGCTCACTCTATACACTTGGACATCATTTTTCAGGTAGCTTTGCAGGAAGGTTTCTTTAAGTGTCTTGGAGACGTTGCCGCAGTTCTTCTGGATTTAGTGTCAGTTTTTTTCTGTTTCTTCATGTAATACAAGATGGACTCAATGATATCCATGTGGATCATACAGGCAGCTGTAAAACTTCTTGTGCATACAAAAATTTCACTGATTACAATTAATGGCAAAATAAATGTTTGTAAATGTAAACTGATATGTCCTACTGGCACGCTACAGCAAAATAACTTTCTTAAACCTGTTTTTCTTTAATGAAAATACTAACGTGCCTAAGACTTTTGCACAGACGAGCGGTCACAAGGAGAATCGCACCAAGATGTAAACAGGGGATAGATGTTGGCATCCAAAAAGATGTTTATTACAAGCAGATGTGCTAAATGTGAAAATGGTTAAGATAAATAAAATAGGTTATCAATAAAAAAGCAATCTAAAAACTAGAACTGTTATGTACTAAAACAGTAGAAACTCTCCGCTTCATCTATTGAGGACAAAGGCTGCATTCGAAATCGCATACTTCCCTATAGTAGGTGCAAACTTACAGTATGTGACACCAAAACTCAGGCAAATAAAACAATAAAACAGTAGGCAAAAAGTACCCGGATGACCTACTTCTTCCAACGAGATTCTGAAGATTCTGACGATGGACACTTTACTATCCCATAAAGCCACGGGAGAGGATTTATGAATGGCAGTGAAGCGACGTAACTGAACCTGGTAGGTTACATGATAATGACAACATGGCGAATGTAGTACGTCCAGATTACATTCATACTACATACATTCATACTAGGCCTATATATAACATACTTTTTAGTGGTCATGAAGTAATTGCTTATTCAAAATAGGTGCCTACTCAAGAGGGTGTGCGATTTCGGACGCAGCCAGAGTTTCAGTGCGTTCAAGCAGCACTACAATAACCTTGTTTAAATTCCCTCAAAAATCATGGTCCGTCCTCCAATCCACTAGTGACGGCTGCCTTAACTACACATTTTCCCGCTTACTAATTGGAGTGTACCATTTAAAAAAAATGTTTTAACTCTTGCCTCACCATGTTTATAAATAAATACACGAGATGATTAAGAACAAGAGTTAAAACAAATCAATAAATTCAATAAATAGGATGGATAAAACCAACACATACATTTGCACAAACGTTTCCATAATAGCGAAAATGAGTGCTCCCCTACAGTTCGCACTCTCTTTAAGGCCACACCCACTCAGGAAATATAAAACAGTATAAAACCCCACGTAACTATTAAAAAATGCATAGGAACAGTGAGGACAAAGTAAAAACAGTGATATTGTGGTCTCTACATCACAATATATATATAAAGTCACAATCATGTTATTGTTATTGTCACAGAAAACTCCTGTGTGTCCGACACTCTGCTCCATAATTAGCCGGCCCCTTTCGCAAAATCATGACGGCACTCAACAGCAACAACTGAGGCCCGGCGGCCCCTTGAGGGCCTCTACCTAGAAAAACAGCAGCCTGGTCCCCAGTGCGAGATGCTAAGAGAAAAGGGTGTGGATGGGTGGTGGGGGTGGGGGTTGCTATGGTAACCCTGGATGAGGAGTACGGATCGGAGATGCAGGACAAGGAGGGAAAACTGCAGTTTTAAGTGAATGATGGCTCTCACATCCTTCCTGTGGGGATCTCCAATCAACCCTGACACTAAAGATGGCTCAGATGACTGACAGA